TATCATATCTTATATTTACAGTAATGTATATTTCTAGATCTTTTCTTTATTCACTGAATAAATATCACTGGATTAAAAGACACCTAGAACTTGTTTGATTTCATCTTTTCTCTTTGTCAGTTAGGTTTTCTTGTAGAGTCCAACTATAAAATTTTGATCAGTCGTATGTGTAATATGACATCATTTCCTTTGTTTTTTCCTTCTATAGTATCTCTTTTTGTGCACTTTTAGGCTTGTAAAGAAAATGAGATTAAAATGAATTCTATACACACATACTATTTGGAGAATAGAACCATTTTTATAAAAAAAATGCCCTATACTTAAGATTGTAAAGAATATCTTCAAAATCTTTCTAATTTCCAATTTACTTAAAATGTTTTTGTTATTTGGAAATAACTGCTGCATATATAACTGTATGTACAGAAAGTTAACTTAATTTTGAAATGACAATATGTCATCATTTGTGAATGAAATACCTACAGAAAAGGTAATCTACATCTGGATTTGTAAGGTTTTTACGTTATAATTTGAATAGGAACATCTAAAAGACTTTAAGAATATTCAATTATCAAATAAAATAATAAAACCTTACATAAATATGTTTTACCTCAACTCTTTGGGCTGCTCCTCCTATGTTGAACATGAATTTTACCTGTTGCAGTAACTGAATTTATAATTTCAAAACATCATTTCCTGAAATCATTTTTTGTCTAACTAAAAATGTGCAAGATTAAGGTACCTTTTCCATTTTTGACAAAACTAACAATATGCAGTGTTGTGATTCTACCTAAATTTCACAAACACATTCTTTTTAAGCAGAGTATCTGTTGACATGAATAGGAATTTGAAAGTACATTTTTTCCAAATTTATCATTTAGATAATCTATATTGGACTATAATTATCATTTTTCAACCCATTAGTTTTTAGAGTTGCAAAGGAACTTAAAGGTCATTAGTGATTTATACAAAGTCAAGCATTCGTAAGACTAACCTACAATAAAAAGACGAGCCAAGAAAAAACAAGTATGGATAGTTACAGAGAAGGAAATGTAATTAGATCTTATACAAAATAAAATAGGTTCAGCTTCATCATAATAGGAGAAATAAAAGTTTAAATGATAATGCAATACTACTTTTATTACAGATTGTTAAAGAACGAGAGGCTGGATGACATCTGAATTAGCAAGGCTACAGGAAAGCAAGAACTCATAAATGTTTGTGAGAGACAGAAGTAGTGCATCTTCTCAAGAGGATAATGTGGCAATATTAAATAAAATCACAGTTGAATATAAACTTTGATTGAGATTGAAGGAACAGTATGCTAAAGAGTAAATTTTACTTTATGTAAACTATGCCTTAATTTTTACATTTTTGAAGAATTCATGCCAGTGTCTTCAGAATAAACTCCATTTTGCTTTTAGAAAGAATTAGATTTAATATAATATAAATACTAAGGTATATTAAATTTAAAAGGTCAATAATCAGAGCTCAGTTTTCTTCATTGTTGTTTCCTTTGGGGGACTGAGGACAGGGTCTCACTATATAGTTCAGGCTGGCTTTGAGCTCACTTTGTAGCCCAGGCTGGCCTTGAGTTCATAGTGATCCACCTGCTTCATTCAGCCTCTTGAGCACTGGGATTAGGTGGGTGCCACCAAGCCTGGCTGCCATCCTGTTTCAAAAATTCTTCCACCAACTTGACAGATGATTTGAAACCTGATAGCATTTAGATATGTAAAAGTGTTTGCTAATGCATTAATTTAAAAACTTTATTGAATTGTTAAATAACTTGCGTATGTAGAAAATAAAGATCCTTTACTTTTAAAACGTCAGCTAATTATACATCTTTTTTTTTCTTGACACTGTTTTGCTCTTTTCACATATTACTGTTTCACAGATCCTGTTAGGCATCAATATTGTACACACAAATGTAATTTAAAGTGTTTCAGGCATTCCATCATGTTTATGAGAATTTGAACATTTCCATCCACTGTATAGATGAGATGCGTTGTTATTTCTTGGTCCCCTAAACAGTTTTGCATTATGTGGGGGTACTCTCATATATGGTATTTACTCAAAAGAAAATCATTTTTACGTTGTCTTATGCTTACAAGTAGATTGTCTTTTAAAAGTATTTTACCAGTTACACATAACCATCAACAATCCACAGCCTTGCTGATATTAGTTTTTGAAAATGTAGGCAAAGATGGCACTTTTTCTAAACACATTAGAAATGTTGTTATTTTAAAATGATTATATACAAGGAGTGTTCTAAACACATAATGAATCTTTAAAAATTTTATTATAGTAAGAGACACATTGCCATTAGCCCTCCTCAAAATACTGCCCTTCACTTTGAACACTCAATCATAAATAAGGAAAATGGCTGTCACTCAGTTAATAAGTCTTATATGACTTCTCGCTTTATTCCTTAGATTTCATATATTACTTTATCAATAGGGGATGCTCATTTACAAAGTCTCCATTAAAAGTGGTTTGAATAACTTTTTCTTAAATATTAAGGTGATAAGTAAACTTTTTGGAAATCTGTAAGTCTAATAAATTAATCATAAATGTTCAGAGACAAGGAGCCAATTAGCTATACGGAACAGTGTATCAATGGTAGTGATGAGTGTCATGTAAGGCTGAAAGGAAACCACTGCTCTCCAGGAGGCAGCCCCTCATCAGACACCATGTCTTGTTGAATCTTGATCCTAGCTGCCTGGTCTTCCTAATAGACATGAATTTCTGCTCTTTACAAGCCACCTAGTTTATAGTATTTTTGTTATAGTAGCCTGAATAGATGAAGGCATTTAACAAATGCCAAATAGCATTTAGAAAATAGTTACTGAACACCTATATTGAACCAGGAAATATGCTAAATAAATGGAGAGAGCAATAATTTTCAGAAGATAAGAAAGGTTTCCGGACATGACAACATTTAGAAGGATAAAAGTTCTGTGGAGGAAAGAATGATGGTAGGGAGAGCTGACTCACTGAAAATGGCAAAAGCCTTAATTCAGAGAAAAATTATAAAGTGCTTAGAGTACTTTTAATATTTGTCTTGATCTCACCATTGTGCAAACTTTGTTTTATTTCCATCACAAAAAGACATGGTCATCCTTTATAACCGAGTTGCATGCATGAGCAAATGTGAACAGACTGCCCATGTAGAGATTTTCAAACTTTAGCATATATCATAATAATGTGGAAGGATTATTAAAATAGAAACTTCTGCACCCAAAGTTCAACTTCTAGGGGCACTAGGGGCATGTGGAGAATCTTTCCCATTACCAGGTTCATGGCTGAGCTCACTGTAACAAAAGACAGAGTAAAAGTAAATAAATTTATTTAATATGCTTTATATGACATGGAAACATCACAAATGAAGAACCAAAGAAACAGAAAAACTTGTGATTTTTATAATGAAGAGTGGGCAATCCCAAGGAAGTATGATTGGATGAAACATGATTGAATGGTGGTAAAAGGAATTTAGTAAGTCCTATTCAGCTTCTTTGTATCCCTGTGTCTTCAGAGATAAAGCTATTGATTTCTACTAGGTATAGAGATGATACTTTGCAATAAAGATCTTAGGACTTGACTGACTGAAGGATGGAAAAGAGAAGAGTGGGTTTTATGGTTGATACATTGTGTCAACTTGAACAGTTTAGAAGTTTAACTGAGAGTCTCAGTAGGGACCCAGGGTTCTTACTTTGTAAATATCCTCATCCTGTGCAAAGGAGGCAAGATTTTGTGAGTGCTACAGGCACCCTGGAGTTGAAGGGTGGCCTGCACACAATATAAGTCAGAGGGCGTTTGTTTTCTTCATTTTGGTCTGGCTGCTGCCTTGAAGTGTTGTCCCAGTGCTATGCCATCCTGCCTTGGAGCCAGCTGATTATGGTCTGAAGCCTCCACAAACTGTAAGCTAAATAAATCTTTCCTTCCTTCCTTTTGGGTGTTAGGTATTTTGTACCAGCAACAAGAAACAAGTAACCAAGACACTGGACTTAGTTGGTTACGTTGTTTTCTCAAATGATAAAGTGTCACATTTTGGGATAGTATTTCTTGACCCCCCTGAAAATGTGCATTTTTGTAAAGTTTCTGGATGATGCCAACGTTACTGGTTTGAATATCACATTTTTAGAACTATTGCTTTAATGTGCATCTAGCTGCTGTTGCAAGGTTCTTGTTTTCCCTAGTTAACCAGAATTTTGTGACAAACCCAGGTCCATTTTGAGGCCAATAAAGATCAGAGAGGTATATCATTGTCTTCGTTGCACAACCTTTGGCCTATTACAAGGTTTGGCAAACAGGGCTTACAAATGTGATATACTGAATACTAATATTAAATAATCATATTGTAAGTTTTAATAAGGTTCTTCTTTAACTATTAGCAAAAGGGAATGGATACCATTCCTGAGTTCGAATAATACACACACACATACAGGATTGTCACATAAAATTAGTCAAGTCCATCATCAAATTTCATGTTTTGCCTTACATATTTGTGACTACAGTGCTCCAAAACTGAGTTCAGTATGGACTTGAATCTCCATCAGTTGTAAACATGTCTCAAATATGATATCTGATTAAAATGGCTAGTCACAGAATTATACCATGTGCAAAATACATGGAACATATTATATTGCATTATTATATTTAGAATAACTTACCAGTATATGTTGAGGGCAAAGGTAGCAACAGCAAAGGGACATGAGACAAGGTAGCAAAGCGAAGAGAAATGAGAAAAGTTCAACGCAGAAATGGTGCAACATTGCAGTGCTGCTACGCTGGAGGAAATGTTTAACTATAGAGTTGTAGCCGCTTTTTCCTAAAGTCGGACTCCCCCAAAGCGCTCTTGAGCCACGAAGGCTGCAGTGCGCTGAGCCTCGCCGCCGGATTGTGAGCCAGGGACAGTCCTCCCGCCTCTCCGGGCCGCCCAGGCAGCGCTGCTCCTCCACTTCCGCCCCGCGAGGCGCCCGCTCTTCCCGCCAAAACCCGCTTCCGCCGCGGCTCTGGGCTCGCGGAACTGCGCATGTGCGGCTCCGCGGCCGGCCGGCGCTATGGCGCAGACGGGGGCCGACCTGTTGCGCCAGTTCCCGCTGCTTCTGCCCCAGAATCGGGCGAAAACGGTGTACGAGGGATTCATTTCGGCTCAGGTACCGGCCCGGCTGTCACTCTCGCACCCCGCCCTGGAATTTTGTCTGGAGCGGGTGGGGCCGGAGAGGGGCGGCGCGCCGGGCTGGGCCGAGAGTGGGGAGCGGTGCGGAGCGGGAACGCGGCCGGGCGGGGTCTCCGCGGAGCGCCGCCGCCTGGGCCTCGCTGGTCCGGGGGTCCCGACTTGTTGGATTCGTGTTTGCGGTGGAGAGTACTTTGGAGCAACACCTCCCTTTGGCACTGCCAAGTCTTCGGGTGTGCCTGAGCACCTTCACTTGGGATGTGGTGTAAAAAATCTGCAGCGGAATGAAATACCTTTGCTGCCTCTTCAAGGTTTACACTTGCAGTACTAACACGTGTAAGGTTTTGAAGTGCCCAAATGCTCCCGGAACAATATCTCAATGAATAACCTCAGGCAGGAATTTTTTAAAAAGTCATTGTTGTTTTATGGTTGAGAAAGTCGAGGCATGGAAATCTGGAGAGGTTAAGCAGTCCACAAGACTGTCAGATCACAAGACGGTCAGATCCCCTTAACCTCAGGCTGATTCCACTCGCGGAGTTTTCCCCTTCATGTTGCACCAAGACACTCTAAATTAGGATTTTGAGTGTAAACTTTTCCTTTTGAACTTTGTCCCCACTTCTTGCCCCCCCCCCTTCCCAAGCAGGATTCCTACTCATTAAAGATACGGGTCAAATTCTAGGAATTAATGTTTTGAGATCTCTTTGATATACCTCTCTACCCATTTGCCTAGCTAAAAACTTGGTTTAGTTTCACACAACGTTTGGAAAGGTTGAAAAAGTATTTACTTTTTGGTTTTCACTCAGTGTTTTTTAAGGCATTTTAAAGAACATGCTTTGTATAATGGATTTGAATTAGCTAATGCGCTTTGGAAAACGTAGCCATCAAACTTAGATGGTTAAATTTTATGACCTGTGTTGTAGTTAAAATTGTTTAAATTTACATCTATCTTAAGTAGTTTATTGAAATCTTAACCTAAACACTTTAGTATTCTACTGGGGACTTGGCCTAGGTCTCCAATCTCCCAAACGAGTGAAGGCGGAAGGCTTAAAAAAATGAGCTAAGTTATGGTATGATTTTAGGGCTCCAGGAGGATCAAAATCCTCTACAGACTGCCAAGAGCTTGCTAGCTAAGATGAGATGCCTCTGGGCAGCCTGTATTTTATTATTTTTTTCAAACAATGCAGGGAAACTGAACAGACCTTGGGAGTGGTTCAAGGACTTGGCCAAGTGACAAATTATGTTAACAAGGAGACAAGTATCTTAGGAGAAGATCTGTAGTGCATTTCACTACAGAGGTGCAATGCCTGCAGCTCCAGTCTTTAGTTAGCTGGAGTTGGAGCCAGGTGTCCTCAGCTATTATCTCATCTTGCCCCGGGTCATGCAAGCAGCCCTGAATGTGTGTTCAATTTCCAGTTTCAGTGGCTCCCAACAATATTCTAAAACTATTTTCCATAAATTTCAGATTTATAGAAAACTAACAGGAATGAACAAGGAATCTGAGTATGCGCTTTGCCTGAATTCAGGGGTTCACATACATTACCTAACGTAGGGTGCAAATCCAAGTTTATTAGTGGGACAGTAACATACTTTGTAATTCCATCTCTTACAGGCTAATGTAAAATTCACATGTGTTTGACCTGGAATAGTTTTCAAGTGTGTTTTTCTTTGTGAATTTTACATTATTTTTCTTTTTTACATGTTTGCTGTATTTTGATTGGGTGCCTATTGTGAGTTCTATTTGTTGAATGCAGTGTATTTTTCTCTAAATATTATTGAGAATTGTTGTGAGCTGCAGTTAAATTAATTGCTAATTTAATCTCTTCAAGGTTTATCTTTAAGGAAACCTTAGGAAAAAGGAGAGCAGAATTTAGTTTTAATTTGGCTGCACCAATGAAGCAATACTCGGAGTACTGTACTTTATGTACACTATTGCTGGAGTATTTGTAAACTTTATTCCTGTGATGGCCTGGCTTTGAATGGCGTTTCTCAGAGTGGCATTAGTATTCAGCTGAAGGTTTCTTGCAAGGAATCCTCTGAAGTGTTTTGGCGTTTTCTTTGTGTGTAGCTGTCTCCACTGTGTCTCTTCTCTTGGTACTTAATAAATTCTACATGTGTTAACCTGTCCTAGCTCATCTCTCTTCCCTTAAGTCAAAGAGCATATCTGGCACTCTATGTTTCTCCATCTCTATCTTGGTTTTTTTTTTTTTTTTTTTTTTTTTTTTTGGTACCTGGAATTGAACTCACGACCTCATGCTTGACAGGCAGGTGCTTACACCGCTGAGTTTCATCTCTCAGCCCATTTCTATCTTCTGTCCTGAAAATTTTCCAGGCAGTAAGCCTGGACAATTACAAGAGATTTTGTTGTTCGTTTCCATTCTTACAAGGATTGATATCCTGTGATGCCTATTGTTTACTAATATTTGAAAAATAAACGTTTCTTTTTTACTCTAGTTTTTAAAATAAGGTAGAAGAATAAATCCTGCGTCTCTTATTTCCTCATGACTACCAAGCAGAAATTCAGAGTTCTTTAAATTTTGATTTCATTTTTTAAAATCTTTCTTTGAAAAGACTGACACTAGTCTCATTCTGTTGCCATGCAAGTTATTTCATCTTTTCCCCAAACTTTTTCCTTACTGTTTTTTGAAGTTAAATTTTATTTTTATTTTTTTGACAGTACTGGGAATTGAATCCAGGACCTTAGCACTGAACTACATTTTTAGCCCTTTGGTGGTTGTTGGTTTTTAATTTTTGACCCTCACTGAGTTACCGCGCTGGGCTTGAACTTGCCAGCCTATAGTTCAGCCTCTCAGAATGTTTAAAATCTGTTGATAAAGATAAATGTCAAGAGTGGATCGTTATGGTCATTTTTCTTATGTATTTATTTGTCTTTATTATGTGGATTTCTGGGAAGTATATTTATAAGTTTAAATATTCTTTTCTGTTTGTTCTCATTTTCAAGCCCTCCAATTATATGTATGTTGGATTTTCTTTACCTGCTTTCTACTTTTGGCTGCTTCTTTACTAATCTTTATTTATTTATTTTTCACTCATTTGGTCATATTCATGCCTTTTTTTTTTTTTTTGGCTCATCATGAAGTATTTATTAACCCTCTTCTTTGAGAAACTTAAATGTGTTCTTCCAGTTAAATATGACTTTGTCTTCTCCATTTTTCTTCTGCCAACTCATTCCTTTTTGTTTTTAATTGCACATTTTCTTGTCTTAGTTTTTAAATATCTTGGATCTGTGTTATCCAGTCAATGATTTTATTCAGTATTATGGTTTATTTGTGGTTTTAGATTTTATTCTCGTATATGTCATTATTTGAAATATGTCATTATTTGAAATTTTTGGTTCTCATTGTCTGTTTTTGTCTCATAGTAGTTTTGGATTGATAAAGACAACGCCCTTGTAAAGTTTTTCAATACATCGTAGTTCAAAAACTTCCTCTTTTGTTGGGAAGCAAAATGCAGTTTGTTTAATGGTTAATTTTGAGAGTGTTTGGGGAGATTGGTATAATTTTATTTTTTTGTGTAAGACCTTAACTTTGCCACACTTGTTTCTTTTTCTTATAAGACCTGGTTTCTAAGAAGTATTTCTACCTACTGTTTTATCCTTTTCTACTCTAAAATGTTTTCTAAGACTACTTCTTGATTTTTGTGCTAAAATTAAGGCTCTTGTTTGCAGTTAGTGCTTTCATCTGTATAAGTTCTTTATTAGTATTTTCATAGTCCAATTCCCCCTTCTTTCTTTCATGAAATTTTTCTGAATTTGCTGACTAACTTTCACTGCTGAAGAACCCCAGTGTGTTCTACTGAAAAATGGTTTATGTCTTTATTTCTACATGTTTTTATATTTTCTGTCTTATAGCTGAAAATGGGTTTTTGTGGCTCTTACATGTACATAATATTGAACTGTAGTTTTTTGGGGGGATGAAAAAAATTTCAGAGTTAAACAACTCTTTCTACTTCTGTTCCCAGCAAACTTAGAAAATCTGCATTTGGAGCATAGTTAATATTTTTAGATGCTTTAGGCACAAACATCCTAATTTTAGACATATTCTTGAATGATAAAGTATTGTGGCATATGACATGTTATTTGAACTTTTAAAACAGCTTGACTTTCCAAATAAGAGACTTCAGAGTTTTATTCTTTATTTTTCATGTAAATTGTGAGTTACAGATTGTTCTTACACCTGTGTGTGGGATGTCTGTAAAGTTAGGTTAAAGTTATTACATAATACCTTTTAGTGGTTTAATGAAATAGTGAATTATTGTTACCTGACCTTTTGAAAAGGTTAGTAGTACATTTTGTTTCAGTTTTTAAAAGGACATTTAAATGTAATGAAAGTCAGAACGGTAATATTACCATGAAAGTAAAGGTTATGGGGTACATTTAATTGTGTTCCACTGTTTTTGAATCTGCTTCGAGGGAAACTGTGCTAAAATTTCTCATGGTAATTGTTTTTTGAGAATTTTATTGCTCTTTTCATTTTATACTGTTGGAGTAAAAGATTACATTTCTGTTTGTTTTTTCTGCTTAGTTTTGCTCAAATTTCACACGTATTATCCTATTTAAGTTAGAAAGTTTAAACTGCTTACCCATTCACTTTCCAAAGAAAGTAAAACCAAACAGATTTCTCAGAGAACACTCGTTCCTTTTCTTATATTCTTTACTTTCCTTAGAAAGAGTGTTAGAAAAAAAATTCTATATTTAAATGTATAGTTGGTGAATATTTAGGTTGAAATAAATAAGTTAATATGCTATTAGTTTCCTTTCTTAGAGGTTCATGAGTGTGAGAGAATTAAGTGCCCTGATTTTTAAAAATATTTTTATGTTTCAATATTTAGATTGTGTAACAGTATAATTTCATTTTATTTAAAGTTAGGAAATTTCAAGCATGAAAACTGGAATTATTGTATGTTCCTGTTTTTTTTTTTTCATATGTTCTTGTTTTTGCATTGTTTTTTTTCCTTCGATATCCAAAACAATTTAAAGAAATTTTTTTGGTAATATTATTTTTTAAAAACATTTAAATCTCTTTATATGTCTATTAACAGTTTTATGGTAATTTCTTGTGTTGTTGTGTTTTTTTCTTTTTTTTCAAGTTCTTTTTTCTAGCAGGTTCTTATCTTAGAATTTTGATTTTCCAAAATAGCAATAGGGTTTTGATAAAAATTTTTGAGTGTTCTGCTTGTATTGTGTTTGAATACTTTGTATTATTTGAAATATAATAATTTTGGGTAAATTTGATACCTTTTTAAAAAAGGAATGTTACCTTTTAAAATATGATTCTGTCTTTAACATCTAAAAGCATAAGGTGAAAGATGAATTTTATTATTTTCCATAGGGAAGAGACTTCCACCTTAGAATTTTGTTGCCTGAAGATTTGCAGCTGAAGAATGCAAGGTGATGAGATGTTTTGTTATGTGTATCTTGATGGGATAGATTGTATGGTATATAAACTGATTCCAGTGATAAGAGTTTACCTAAAATGCTTACCAACAGATGCTGTGAAAAAACTAGAAGAAAGTAAGGATAGTTTACTTTCTGGGATAATTAATGAGTTAGCTAAGTTGTAAGCAAGGAATGGAAAACACATTTGGAGAGATCCTTATCCCTAGACAGTTGCGTGAACTATACTGCCAAGAGGAGATAACAGTGGTTATGGAGTTTAACAAATCAAGAATGGGGAACAAAAAAAAAAAGATGGAGGAAGTTGTAAAAAGGTTCTAGAAAGGCAAACTGAGAGAGACTTACTACTTTTAGATATTACTTAGATAAGTTGCTTACCTGCCCGTGGTGAGAGAAAATGAGCTAAAAGATGGGTGAATATAAATTATCACTATTTATACAGTTCAAAGTATGTATCTTTTAGTTATATTAATCTGGAGTTTGAAGAAGAATATATTGCTACGTATTTTTTTGCAGACATAAGTTTGATATATTATGATCTGAACTGTTATTTTTTAACCTACCTTGGAGAAGAAACTAGTTCAATAGAAAACTTTGCTTTGTATAAGTTAAAAAAAGATGTACTATTTGTGTGTCATTGACTGATTGTAGTTATTTTTATCTCGAACTAAAATTAATGCTGACAGTTTGAAGACAAGGCTTTCAACAATATGTATGGTAAAATTTTTATTAACTTGTCAGAATTATGTTTGTGTCATTCGTTTGATTGTACATGTCTGTGTTAGCATACAAATAAGTTTTCTCCTTTTAATTCTGAAAGATGAATAAACCCTTTTGTCCTGTTAAAATTTTAGATTGTTGTGTAGCTCGCAGCTGAAAACTATTCTTAATAGATACCATCAATTAGTCCAACAGGTAAGTCTTTTAAAAGCTTTTATTTTAAATGAAGAATGGAAATTATTAAATAGACTCTTTAAAGACCTGCTTTGCAGAATGTTATTACAAACTAGTTTAATAGTTACTGAGTTTCACTGGTTTTAACTTTAGCTATCAAATATTTTAGGGATATATATATATATTTATTTATATTATATAAAATGTTTTCTGAAGTTATCAACAGATCTTAAAGCAGCATTTGTGTTGAAACTGATTTACATTCTTGAGACTTTAGGTTTTTCACATTTGTCACTCTTACCCAAATCCACTAATTGCTGGATGATTTTCTTCTGCTGAGACTCTTTAGTGATGATAGAAAAAAAGTGGAACCTATTTAGAGCTGGATATTTTTAACAAAGGGATTTAGAGTTATAGAGTAGAAATATAAAAGATGCGAGGTCACTTAAGATCCTAGAGATTGCTTAATAAGAGGAGCTAAAAGTAGCTGAAATGTGATATAGGCAGAATTTACTTGGTTACATTTTCTCTTTGTTTGGAGTGGGGGCAGTTGTGGGCTTTGAATGGTCTCACTATGCTGCCCAAGGCTGGATTCAAACTTGTGATCCTGCTGCATAGGCCTTTCCAGTAATTGGGATAACAGGTGTGTACTACCACACACAGCAATTTAGTTCCTCTTAATATTTAGGATCTTTCCCTTGAAAATGCCATTAATGACTAGAGAAGCAATCAAAGCTCCTCCCAAAAAGAAAACAAAAAAACTGCTGTTGAGATAACTGAGCATAATGTAATGACTCTTGTAAAAAAATAAATGTTAGAATTGCATTTTTTTGCTGCTTCATTTTTTCGGGTTTTTTTTCTGATTATCTTTTTCTACCTTAACAGCGTTGTGTGATAACTAATAATGATTTTCATTCAGAGTATAACTGAGTTATAAAGTATTCTTTAGGAGATAAACCATTTGCTATGTAGAATATAGGCTATAATACTAGCAGTATAACAAGTTTTTAGTGGAATGTTTACATTACTTCTTTTCCCTTTGCCTCTCAAACTCAATTATTTATATTATATACTAAAGTTTAAGAATGGATTGACATAGTAGAATAGCTAAAAAAATTAAGTGCTAAGTATAACAGTAAGATATTAAACTTTTTCTCTAGTTCACCAAGAAATTATTTATAATTTTATAAATTGAATAATTTTATAAATAATTAAATTAATGAGTATCCTGTCTACTTTCCAGTAATTTGGGCAAAAGGATCAAACAGACTTTTTCTGTAAAGAACACTTGCAGCTTTCTCAGCTTTGTGGACCTTGGGTTTTTGTCACCGCTGCTCTGCTCTTGCAGTCCCTAAGCAGTTATAGACAAGTGGTAAATGGGTGGACATGGCTACATTCCAGTGAAACCTGATTTACAAAGACAGGTAGTGAGCAGGATTTAACTTCAGAGAGACAGGTGGTTTTCAGACTCCTGATATTATTTATTACCTGTAGTAAAACTAAAAAAATACCATGTAGAAAATGAGAAGGTGTAAGATACATGAAGCATCATGCAAATATGCACCAACTCAAAGTTGTGCTAAGATATGAGTGATGTATCTGCTTGAACTGTTGAAATAGCTTAGCTTTTAATTTTTCTCATCTAAAATGACAACAGATTTACATTTGACTTTATTCTTAACTGTGTGGTATTAGGGCAGTGCATTAAAAAATAAAAGCACAATATTTTGATTTCAAGCAGAGAAATCATGTAGAGTTCTAAGAAAGCAATATAAAAGGTTTTTTTCACCTTTATTCTATAGTAGTTTTAAGAATGAGGGTTTTAGGAAATAGAACAATAATTTAAATATTCATTCTAGTTGAGATTGTTTCCTTTTTGCTATTTTAATATACTAGCTTTTGTATTGAATGATTCTCTTCCTTAGAATTAGTTTGGGTCAGTTGTCAAAGGGACAGAAGTAACTACTAGTGGTCTTTAAGATCAGAAAACAATAAAAATATATAATATTATTGATAAATTATTAATATTCATAACTCTGGATTTTGAAAATTACACATTTTTAATTTTTATATTTTATATTCCTAATTCCATTCATATCTCACACTCCTCCTCTGCTCTTTTTCTTAAAAGTAATGATGTGGTTTGCTAGATTTGCTAAACTTGGCAGTGAACAGTATTGAAGAAACAGGAGTGTGAAGTTTTTAAGTGACATTCTTAAGCAGTTTTATATCTCACCAAAATAGACTTGAGGGTTTAATTCTCCTTCCAAATGAAAGTGGTAGGGACAGTGGGGAAAGTGACTGATACTTTTCGTTACTTAATATGTTTAAGATACAGGTACAGCTAACAAACATACATCTATGTATGAATGTTTACATACACCTACATATTTACATTCACTACATTTTACTACTCTCATTAATTGGGAATGTTTTGATCTAGAGAATGCAGCATGCTCCTGATCTAGTGAGCTTCATGATGGAGTTGAAGATGATCTTGGTAAGATTTTTCTAACATGGTTATCACATTCTATAAGTCTTAAAAACTAGTGGTCACTTAAAACTTGTCACTTCCCAGTGATTTCATGATTGATGTTACTGTGTATATAATGTGAATGGTATTTTCAAAAAACTGTATGAGAAGCAGAACTGTGTGTAGGAGTCAAATGATTGTGTCAGTAAAGTTGGTACCCTGACATTCATGTTGTGTACATGGTGAAGAAATAAAATAAAATGGCGTATCAAGAGAATTTAACATCTGAGAGAGAACTTGGGTGGTTACACCTAAACATACAATATAATGTGTAATTGTACACAGCTACAGATTCCTGAAAATCTAGGCTTATGATAATGGTTTATTTAGTGAATACATTTTGCATTCAATGTTTGAGTACTCTATAGACATTTTATTGTTCTTTAAAAATTTTTATTACCCAAGTTTTTCACATGATCAAAAGAAGAGACATTGTAATTAATGCAGTGAGCCCGTGACATTACCTCAGCATTTTGCCAATTGTATTTCCTCTCCTGTTTTTGAGAAAAGACTTTTATTAGTTTTTTTAAGCTTGTGTTATTTTAAAGGAGATCTTGCACATTATATCCATTTTATGGATAGATCACATATTTCTAGCAGCTAACTATTCTGTTTTAAATATACATTTTAAACCTCAATGAAGTTAATAATTTTTTATAGTTTCAACATCCAAAGTCTGCACATTACATTAAATCCCAAAAACTTTTTTATCTAAGACTTATATGATAATTTATAACAGCGTTTCTTCACATAATATCTTAAGTTGTCTACTTGTTGAAAAAAATTCCCTTAAATTTCATGTGTAGGATACCAATGGAATCTTTTTTACATGTTGTTCTATATAGTTGGAATTTTCTTATCCAGAAATTCAAAATGCTCCCAAATTTTAGATGTTTTGAGTGTTAATATGTTGATACAAGTGAAAATTTCTACAGTTTGAGACTGTTTCATGCACAACATTACTAAAAATTGCTTAAAGCAATTGCTTACCTTCAAGCTATGTGTCTGAGGGGCATGAAATGTATGTAAATTGTTTGAGTTTTGGTCCCATTTTCAGGATATTTTATGTATTTATATTTATAAATAGATGTATTCTATATATACGTATATTTTTAAATTTGAATACTTGCAAGAATGTGAATGTTCCAAATTAAAAGAAAGTTGAGATCATAAATACTTTTCCTCGCAAGCCTTTTTTATAAGGGATACTCAGTCTGCACATTCTTTGTATTGTGGTAGATCTACAGATCTCCACAGATTTCATCGTTGTTTTGATGAAATATGGTGCCAAGTACTTATTACAGTCTATTTGGAGTTACATAGTATTTGATTCCTCTTTCAGTAAAGATTGTCACTTACAACCAATTTAAAAGAGGAGAGGCTTAATTTAGCCACAGCTTCAGGGAATTCAGTCCATGGCCTGCTGTCCTTCAGGCAGAAGCGTCATAGGACATAAAGAGCCAAGTTGATTTTTAGTTCACAGCCCAGTCAGGACCCAGTGCCAGGGAGGAGAGGGTGAAGGACTGTATATTATATAGTACCCAAAGTCAGACCTCCATGACCCACCTCGACTCACACTGGAATGTGCTTCACTCATTTTTAGGTGTTTCTTTAGTCTACTAGTTTACGTATCAGTGGTCATGGGCCATTGCTTGTTAACACCCAGATAAATCTCCTTTAACCATACTTAATTTCCCAGTGAAGATAGTAACATCTTTGTCATTCTGCCAATCATAATACAATATCCTGCACACAGCTGGAAACATAATAATCTCTTCCCCAGCATCTCAATAGTTGCATGAGTTTTCAAAAGTCCAAACCTCTTTTAAGATTCAAAGCAAACTCTTAGCGGTAAACCTATATAGAAATAAAAAACAAATTACAGGATCCCAGAGTACAGGGGCACAGGGTAGACAGTCCTATTGTGAAGGGGAAGCATAGGGGATGGAAAAGAAGCAAGTCTGCAACCCAGGAAGGCAGATGTTAAGTCCTGTGTCCTTAATCTAGCACACATGATGTACTGCTTTTTTGTGTTGGCCTCAGTCGCGTCCTGTAGCTCTACTTGGTTGGTGTTCCACGTTCCTGGTCTTTCCAGCATGCTGGGATCTCCACAGTGTCTTACTTTTTCTCTCACAGCTTCACCCTCTTCTTGGGCTTCTTGCTTGACCTCTCTGGCCCTCTTCAGAAGTCTGGGTGGAAGCTTCCCTGTTCCAACAAATCTTGCATGCTGTGTGCTAGTGAAGTCAGTATTAGACGGATGGTGTCAAAGTCCACTGTTGGCAGGGCGATAGTCAGGGCCTCTTTGGACCATTGCTTGCAGTTGCTTCTGAGTGCTTGCTGTCTGAGCACGTTGGAATGAATTCATGGTTGCCATTTCTGCAGTAGGCTTTTCACCAGCTTTGGGCCCAGGAACTCTACTCAAAAGAAGGGTTTATATTTCTACGCCCTACAGCCTGTGATGGATATCTTCTTCCTGGTGTCTGAGATGCCTTCTTGCTCTGTGTCAAGTACTTACTTTCATTTTAATGCAGCTCACGCCTTCAGCTACCCTATACCTCTTTTGGCCCAGTTTTATGTGAGGTTCCTGTGGGCCAAGATTTTTTCCTGCTCTGCTTTTTCTCCCTGACTCTCACTGTAAATTTGGCCAAAAGCAGCCAGTTATACCCATGCAGAGGCTGAATGTTGGGCTGTCCTGAAATCTCCTCCATGAGATTAATTAGCTTACCAGCCTGAATTTTAGATTCTTGGAGTTTCAAGACAGGTAATAGCCAAATTTTCTGCCAGAGTGTAACACAAATGTCCTTTAGTCCAATGGTGATGGAGTCATTGTTCCCAGCTGAAGCTTGCACTGTTTGACCTTTAATGTCTGCATTATCAGGTGTGGTCTTCTGACCTCTGTCCAGACCAGCCATCATGCTCTATTTATAGCATTCTGTGGCCTCTTCAGCTCACTTCTCCATGCCTTTTCAGGCCCATGTGAAACAGTCCCAAAGGGCTCTAAACATTATGGTCATTCAGTCATAGAAATGACCCCAGTTCTCTAGTACCAGTTTTCAGTATCAGTCACTTTCCTGTATCTGGACATAATACACAACACCCAAAACATAATGGAGGCTTTAATTTAGCTCATGCTTTCAGAGAATTCAGACTGTGGTCAGCTTGCTGTAAGGCGCAAATAATATGAGAGAAATGTGGGGAGGAGCGAAGCTGCTTCCTTATGGTAGTGTTGTAGCTGAGCAGGGGAAATGCACTACAGAACACTGGAGGAGGGACCATAGGTCGTACTCAGGATCCTACCATCATGTCCCCGCCAGACACACAGAGGAGCCAGGATTAAGTTATACTGATACCAGACACGTGGTCATCCCATCGGCACAGACCTATCCCATCGAAAGTTTCCCATCGGTTTATTACCTAGTGACTGTAGCAGCCAGTGCTCATTGCATAAATTTACTATTTTAGAGTTTATAACTTGGTGGATTTTTTATTAGCTGAAAATATTTTACAGATGAGAACGACCCTCAGTCGTTGGTTAATTTGACATACAGCTCATACTAGTGAGATAGGATAAATGCTTGTTTTCCTTTTTTAAAAATCAACTTTTAGAATAATGAGCTGGTACCTAGCAACTGTCATGGGGAAGTAAAAAATTTTTTAGCATCATTATGAAATCAAGAGTTTTTTTATATTTGATTAATCCATTGAAGTCATTTTCCTTTTGTTGCTTAAATTACACTATTTTTAGATAGTGTAAGCCCCTGTATGTTGGGTCCTGAATTCTTTTAATATAAACTAAGCTTTTATTTTTTGATAACAGTGCACACTAACTTCCTCATCCTGCTGCAGAGCTGTTCTAGAGCTAGAATCAGCCACACCTTTAACGGCACAGATTGCCTTCTTTTCATTTCCTTTTTTTTTGTGGTAGGAAAGATGTTTTGATCCCACAACCAGAAACTGGGTTGCTCATTCCTATTATTCCTCTTTAGTGGGCAAAGCTAGAAAAAAAGCATTCTAGAAAGAGTAAGATTAATCTTGTATTCGTATTTCCAATTGAAATTTGACATCAACAGTTTTTTACTTTTTTGCTTTTATCTCTTATCCTGAAATGTTGGTTTCTAATGATATTAATAGTTTTTTGGTTATGCCTATTTACATTTTTCTTTATTCATTTATAGTTGTTTACGTCAAAATTATAACACCACTGTTTCAACTAGTAACTGAATACAGTTTGCTGTTTCTCTGTAGTTCTTCTTGAGACCTTGTTTGTTCTTGGTAGCAACTACTATATTTTGAGCACTTACTTGCTACATTTTCCTGAGTCCTTTTTTTATCTTCATAACAACCTCTGAAGATAGAGTTTTGGTAAAATGTTTGGAAGAAGAACAAAGAATATAAAATCAAGTTCTGAAGGTTAAATTTTTTCAGTTCTGAATTTGTAAACCAAAAATTGATTATGAAATTCATCAAAGGCGATAATGTTTTAGCATTAAAAATGACAAGGTGAAGAAATGTACCATTTTTGTTTCATATCCCCTTGACATTGGAGCAAATTTTGAAAACTTTCTTTTACTTTTTAATGTAACTTTTAATATGCTATACAAATATAGGGACTAAGGAAATCAGAGTAAAACTACATATAAAAACTGTATCTTATGTCCTACTAAGCATCTAGCACTAAAACTAATTTTATTGGATTTTATGTCATGATTGTATGGTCATTTCATTTTGAAGAAACATTTATTAGTTTAAGACTAAAATGAAATACTGAGATTGATCTGTGGTTTACAATAATTAGTACATTTGTGTTGCATTGCCAAATAAAAAGATCCTGTTTTATCAAGTTACAGGTACATTTGGTTATTTTATTATGCATTTAAGATAGTGTACCTAAAAGCATAAGAATTATCACTTACTTTTTAGGCTGTGTTGTTAGTAATAGGATTCCTATAAGAAAATCAAGAAAGAAATTCTTGAGAAAGATGCCCAAGTGAAACCAGTAATTATTCAAGTTATTCAGAAAATTTTGAAGTCTCCCAGGGAGTTTCTATTAATAGGTATACTGTGGGAGTTCAGTCTGTATTTAATACATGTTAAGAGAACTTTTACAGTATTTCTGCTTTAGAGCCCAGCCACTGGGAGCCTGTAGCCTTAGAACTAGGAATTGAACTCAAAGACCTGTCCCTGAAGTCTTCCTGTTGTGACAGTTGGTCTTCTCAGTGCAGAGCGATTGCTTCTCTATCTTTGCTCTGTTTTCTGTTAGGGCTCTAGAGTAAGAGTAAATCATATGTTTAGGCAGAATTTACAAATGGAATAACCATAGGATTGAAGTGTATTTTTATTTTCCAAGTTTATCTTGAATATTTGTGGTTAGAATAATAAATATGTTGGGGAGAATGACTATGAATAGACTTGGGGAGGGGACCCAAGGCTAAAATGAAATTCATTTATGTTTCATATGTACTTTCTGTGTGTAGCCTGGAGGCATTTTATATAGTATTTTAAATAATTTAAAATTTAATAATTTTGCAACAAAGTTTCCTAGTATAGAATTTTTCACTTGTGTCATTTTACTCTCAAAAAATGTGAAATTTCAGAATATTTCAGATTTTGGAGTTTTGGATATGGGGCATTGAATCTTTAATACCTTTTGATAATTACCATATGAACATTAAGTAATTTTATATGTATGTATTTTTTTACTTTTCAAGTAAAGTAATTGTCAAGATTAGGAACTACACAATCACTGGTAACTTTTAACCTTAGCAACCCTAGTGTTGTGTTTATTGCCCATAAAAAGTGGAAATTATAGTTTTGATTGTGGGATCATAAATCAGAGGTATCATAGGTAGGCCTAGCAAAGAAAGGGACCATCATCTAACTAGATGCATGGCAAGACGCTGAACTTACCTGGTTGAAGAGTAATGTTGAATGTATGTCACTGAAAGGAATTAGCAAGTATTCACTGTGATACTGAGTAAGTTTTGTTAAGATAGGGTGATTTTTTTTTTTTTTTTTTTTTTTTTTTTTTTGTGCCGGCAATTGAACGTATGACCTCACACTTGCCAGGCAGACACTTACGCCACTGAGCTAAATCCCCAGCCCTATGCATATGTATCAGTCTGTTCAGGGTAAGCAGAGTTCAGGCTTTTCTTTAAAGCAACATGTTTTTTTACATCAAACATATCCATAGGAATTGAAAATGAAGCCTTAAGGATGAGTTTTTATTTTTAAATTTTTCTTTTTTGTTAGGCACAAAAGTCTATAAAAGTATTAACATTTTAAAGTTTTCATAGCATAGAAGTTTGTATGTGTTACTTTTAATTTTTTTTGAGAAAGGTAACAAATCAACATGGTTTTCTATAAAAATACTGGATACATTAGTTAGACACTAAGAAAACTATAACTTATGTTTTTAACTAATAACAAATTATTGTCAAGTATTCTACAGCTGATTCTTTTTTAATTTTAAACAGGAAGTTGCTTTAAAGAATCGACAAGAGTTGTGTGTGTTACCTCCTTCTTCCCAGTTCTATTCCATTCTTATCGAAGAAATAGGAGCTCTTGGTTGGGATAAGTATGTTTATTTTAAAATATGCTTTAGAAATGCCTTTGCTTTATATGTTTCAATTTAATAATTTCTAATATTAGCAATTTATTTTACACCTCTGTTTAGTCATGTTTCATAATAGAGTTTCTGATCATCCTGGTTGCTAAAATTAAGGGAAAGGTTGTCCTTAAAAATTGACCTGTAAGCTAAATATGTTTTGAGGGAAAATGATATTTTTATGTATGTAATAAGATGTTGTTTTCATATATGTTTTCACTGAACATAAATGTTCCTAAATTATCCGTGTTTGGAAATGATGCTGAGATAGTTCACATATTTTATGAATGTGTTTGAAGTATTCCTTCTTCCTCTTCTTTCTCCTTCTCCTCCTCTGATTATTATTATTATTGTTATTTTTTCCTGACTTGGCTTTTGATAGCTAACTTAAAATCAAATAGTATTTTAAAATAAGGAACTTAGGTGCAAAGTTTGTATCCTTTAATGTATTTACACCATAACCTGATAGCTGAAGGAAAGCTTAGGCATGAATTATGAGTTCTAATTTAATCCTTTATAAATTTATTTCCAGAGGCAAACTGCTGTTTAATTATTAGAGAATTCTTTTCTTTTGTCTGTGTGTTCACCCTCCCTTTATATTCCTGGTAAGCCTTTTAATTAGAACAGTTCTTCCTTTTAGGCACACATCAAGTGTTTCTCTTGTCATCCCTGAATATGAGTGAATGATCCGTACCTCTTTTGGTGCACCTCTATGCAGGGATGGTTTGGCTTTCTTCTAGGCATGTACTTTAGGGTTTTAAAATTTTTATAAGTACTGCTTAACTTTACTTTCCCTGGTTTAATGGTCTAAGTATATGGATCTACAAATAGACACTCTTGAAATTTATATATTGAGTTCTTGCCAAAAATGATAACTTCTCCTTTTAACAGCTAAATCTTTACTAAAATCATGATTGGATCAATAATATTTCACTATAAGTGAACTGCTAAAAGGTTATATGGTAAAATTATTTTACATGGTGTTATTGGAAAACATGGTGAATATTTAAATTTTTAAAAGTTTATTACAGTAAAAGGCACATTGTCATTAATCCCCCACAAAATATTCTTTACTTGAAACATGTCCCATCATCACTGCCACTTCCGGAGCTGGTTCTGGAAGTCCTTTTTCCTGAGTCTCTTTGGTGCTACTGTTATGACTGTCTCCATGTCCTACACTGATTCAAAAATACTTACCTTAGTCATTTTGACTATGGGGAAAAGCTGGAAATTGCGTAGGTGAATGAGGATGTGCCATGTTTTATTTGACTGAAATTGGTGTAAATCTTTGGGATTGATTTAGGTCATTGAGGTAAGCCACAGCAATACAGCTAACTCCAGGAAAGAGGACGTCGAACTGCTTCAGAAAGTGGCAAGGATGACGAGATAAATGTGTTGGAAGCAAGGGAGACTATTTTGAGGGGATTATTGCCAGTGTATCTTAATGTAATACATTTTTTTAAAAATTTGATGTACTTTTTGATTAACTATTTTATGTTAGATCTTAGGGGCCGGTGATACAGTTCAGCAGTACAGTATCTGCCTGGCAAGTTTGACGTCATGAGTTAGATTCCCAGTACCGAAAAACATTATGATGCCAAGTTGGATCTTAGACTGAACACTATTATATTATTTTGCTCACTTGTATTTCTGACTATATTAAGAGATGTTTTATGTTTGGAATCCTTCTATATTATGATACGCTGCTGTATTGATGAGACCCATAAAGTTTTCTCCCATTTCAGGTGTTAAAAATATCATGCTTGTCATAAATTTCTGACAACTATTTTTTAACAACTAATATGAGTCCTGAAATTAGTTCAACTGTGTGACGTGGTCCCTAGGAAGCTTAGTGTCACATTTGCCTGACTGTTTTAAACTCGAACATACTGTATTTTTTTGTTTGCTTTGCTTTTCCTTAAAAACTTGCTTGTGTTCAATACAGGAACTACTTGTTCTTTTAGAAGAAACTGGTGAGAGGAGAGATTAAGGACAGTGGCTTAATATGGGCGTTTTCATTACTGTTGCTTTGGTCACTACCTCATATGGGTTCTTCTTTTGTATTTGCCCTTGGTTATTGGGGTTGTGCCATGCCGGGTAATCTTGGGTTGAGCGTTGGACACTGCGCATGCAGAGTGTTAGAAGCTCCAGATAATACTGTTTTCTTCTGCGGGAGATTTCCCTTTCCCTTTCCTAGGAAACAGCAAGGGGAAGGATTGCCCCAGGGCAGTGAATTCGAATGGATTGTTGTTTTCAAAGGGGTCAGCAGCGCGTGGTTGTTCCAGTCCGTCTCCCCTTTCAAGCAAGAGTCAGATACACTCGTTGGAATTTTTCTTTGGTGAATCCTGCACTCTAACCTGAGACTCTCCACAAGACCAGTTTTTTTTCTTGGTTGGAGACTTTTGTGTGTGGTGCTAGGGATACAACCTAGGGGATACTACAGTAGATCCATAGCCCTTTTTCTAAATATTGAGATGGTCTTATATTTTTTGCTGAGAGGCCTCAAACTTGGGGTCTTTCTGTCTCAGCCTTGTAAGCAGCTAGGATTGCTTGTGTGCACCACCATGTCTGGCTGGAGTCCAGGCCTCATCCACCTCTCGTTGGCCTTGATGTTAAGAGTAGCCCTACACAGTGGTTCTCACTGTGGTCTTTGAGGTATTCATTTGGACTTTGTCCCATTTGTGGACTCTAAATTCTAACTAATCTTCCCAGAGTATCATGAACTTTCTGAATAGTCTTTGTTTCTCAGTGGTTTTCTATCCTCTTATTCTCCAAAATTTAAAGATTTATTAGTTTGCGGAAAAACGGGCAGAATTTTAGAATCATGTTCTTTGGATTTACTGTATTTTGACTCTTTATTATTTTTGCCTCTGTCTTCAAGAGAATGCCAAAATGCTGCTAGTGTTTGTTTGTTTGTTTTTTGTTCACTTCATAGAAACTGTCTGTTTAGGCCTTTTGCCCAGATCCTTCTCTTACTCTGTGCCGAGAATTGAGAAATATGCTGAGGAAAAAAATCAGTTCTGGCTTACTACTCTTCTCTTTCACTCTTCTTTATGACTTTGACCTTTGTGGCCTGGTTGCCTTGGCAATTTTTTGATGCCTTCACATTTTTTTTCTTTTTGCTTTTATTGGGGTACTTTAGTTGTTGAGCATAGAAGTGTTGGCCTTTAGCAAGCTGTACCATTTTAGCCAAAAAGACATGTTACAATTTAAGTGTACTCTTTGTATTTTAAGGACTGATTAACGTTTATTCATGGAATCAAACTCTCTTATTTGTTTAGGTTGCCATTTTCAAGTAGGATTTGGGATGAATGCAGCCTTTTTACTAAAATTAAAGGTAACAGGGGAGGGAGGAGATGTGAATCTTTGACCTAACTCATTCTTTAGATAAAAAATTGATGAAGTAGAGAAGAATAAATTGTAACCATTTTCAGACGGTTAAAATTTAACATTTTAGTACATAGAGAATAGTTGAGGATGTAGGAAGGGTTTGCCAAGGGGAAAGGAAATGTTCCAGTTTTATTTCTGTTACTCAGATAGTTTAGGGCATTTTACTAAGTGGACTCTGACATGGTTGGAACAAGTTCAGTAATGAAATTCGTTGAAGCATTGAGAATGTGAGATTCTTTTGAATCAATTATGTTTTTACCCAGCTATTATTTATTTAGCATGTGTAACAGCAGTGAAGATACATAGATGGGACTTAGGAACCCTCATGGAACATCTAGGGGAAGAGCCAGAATTGAAGTAGATGATCACAGTTGATAACTACTGTAGAGTATAATTACAGGATCTCTCGAGAGCCATTAGCAACAAAGTTATAAGGAAAATAGGCCAAGTACATAAAATATTTTACGGAGTGTTTTAAGAGAAAATACTGACTTTTGCTTTGCATTATTCGCATGGTTCCAATGTGAGAAACAAGAAAACAGACTTCTGACGTGATTAACAGATGAATGTCAATAGTCAGGATATCAGGGCCTCTGCCCCCTGTCATTGTGGTGTAATTGTGTAACTCCAGTCTGTATGGAGGAGGCTTCCTTTTATGAAGTCTCTGTTATGTGCTACTGACTGGACTGTTGTTTTGTGTTCTTATTTAATTCTCAGAACAAATTCCAATATTAAATGAATTATGTAGACAAGGCTGGCTATCTAACTCCATGTAGGTGCACTGTGTGATTGATTTCTCCAGTGTGGTGGCATGTGATAGCTGTGGTGTGGAGCCTTAACAAAGCTGTCTCTGGTAGGCGGAGATTGTCATACACTGAGGGGGAAGCTAATAAAAACTGTCTTACCTGGAGTAAAAGTGCCATTCACAGAATTACCTCATCCTCAGAGACAGTTTCAAAATCTTCTGCTTGGAGTATAAAAGATCCTAATTTAATTATAGTGAAAGGAATAGATAATTTAGAATAAAGCCATTCTTAAATTCTTTGTTTCTTGCTATTTACAGATAAGGAATGTGTTAGTCGTGTAAGTTATCTGCATGGATTGTGAGATGCTAGAGGATAATAAGGTTCTTGTCAGCATTTATTCAGTGCCATGTGGTAAAGTAAGAAAATCTGTTGGATTTCTCTTTGTAATTTAACCCTTAGATCATGTCTGGTCCACTGACAGATGAATAAAATCAGGTTTGAGGTTTGGCAGTGCTAAAGCTTTAGTGGTGTTGTCTGTACCAGGGTTACTACTTTTTAAGACCCTACTTAAGTAGCTAGTTAGCTTTGTTATTTAAAATACCCTTTGGAATGATACATATGATGGTTTGCATGACAAATTGATTTAAATGGATTTTTCAGAATCTTAATGATTTCTAGAACATGTCAAAAGTTTGTATTTTCCTTACATTCTAAATAATAACTTTAGAGATTTTTCAGTATAATAAAATCTGAAATAGAATAAAAGTATCTTTTAAGTAACGTAGAACTTGCAGTGTTTCTTAAATTATGTCCTTGGCATTTCTAATCAATCCA